AACCCGGAGCCGCATTTATGATAATTTTACTTAGTATGCCCGGCTGAACAGAACAGGCCCGAACAGAACAGAACAGAGCAGAACAGAGCAGTACGGAACAGGTGGAGAGCTTACTATATACGAGTACATATGAACATCATGTTCTTTGATAGCTCCAGCCAATGTGTACCTCCTGCTATTGCATTACAAGTAATTTTCTTAATGATGTTGCGCCGCTGTGGCATTATCTTGTTTGTTGGTTGGCCTGCTCTGCTCTGCTCTGCTCTGGTTTGGTCGCACACTGCTCACCATTATGGTTGTTGATGATAATTTATGCAAAATATATATGACTACCTTACAGTATATGCATGATATGCTCCCCACTGCCACTTCACCTCCTCTTCCTCCACCACCTGTACCTGCTTCTAAACTTTCCCAGTTTGGTCGTCGCCTGCCTGCCTGCCTGCCTTCCTACCTACCTGGCTGGTTGGTTAGTTTGATTCTGTGTCTGTGTGGTCCAATTTACACGATTTCACTTTAGCACCACAGTTGCTTGTATACAGTTGATTCTAATGTTGTCTTCTTCTACCCCCGCCCCCTCCCGGCCTTGCCGCTCGCATTTGTGCTTAGTTAGTTAGTTGTCTGTGCAGTGAATTAGTTAATGGCCGACCAACTTTGCTTCGCACACGCGATTGGCCTGAAAATCACTCAAGCGTTGTGCAACATGACGTGGTCGATGTAGACCTGCAGACCTGCAGATCTGGGCTTTCGCATTGGTAATTGTAATTAATTTGGCAACTTTATATGGCTTATATTTAAAAATTATGGAATTATGTCAGCCATTGTGGGAAGAGACTTGGCCGTCTTCTGTCAGTACAGCTTAAGTGCTCAGTAATTGGCCAACTCATTAAAGCCAGCAGTTAAATTGTTAATTGAATTTGCACACACTACAGAAATTCTTGTACTAAATATGTAAAACTGAAGCTTTAGTTATGGAATGCAATAAACCAAAAATGTAAATGGCAAGTAAAACATTTTTGAGTCGGACGACTCATACTATTAGTGTGCGTTCATAATTTTAAATGCTGTCTCCTACTAAGGACAAGTCTGTATGTCTGTTACTATATTCCATGGACTGATTTGTTTCATGATAAAATGTATAACTAAACTACTTAATAATGATTGTTTGTTTAACCGACGGCCAGTCTCAATACGAGAGAATTTATTTTTGATAAGCCTTTCGATTAAAGGAATAGCGCTATTGCACACTAACCAAAGTCTCTTGTGGCATGATGACAAGACTAAACAAAAAATGCTGAAAAAGTGACTCCATATACTTGTAGTATGTTTTAAAAAATATTATAAAAATTAATTTAATTCAAAAAAAAAATTGACTGGATACACAGAATAATCAGGCACGATTTAGTGAGACCAATCGATTTGTTGACGTTTTTTTTTCTTTCTAAATTATGTCCTTTGACATCGTTTGATATATAACAAGAGAGAACGCTACAGTCGAGCAAGCCCGACAGTGTAATACCCTGTACCCAGGTAAGCTTCCGTCACTGAGTTATATGCGCCCATAGCAGCAACAAAAACAGGAAGAAGAAGAGCGAACTCGTTGCTGCAGTTTGTGGGGGTTGTACTGGCGAGAATTTGTTTCGCTAATAACTTTTCTCAGAATTGACCGAATTGGATAAACAACAGTAGACAATTATATATAAATTATGTGTGCAAAGTTTGGTTGAGGTAGCATTTGAAATGTGGACGCTATTAACGAAATTCTGTAGCGGGGGAAGGGGGGGAAAATTAAAAAAAAAAAATAACCTCGTCCTTACCCGGACCTAGGAGAATCTGGATGCCAACTTTGGTTATTCTAGCTTTTATAGTTTCTGAGATCCTCGCGTTCATCCAGACGGACAGACGGACGGACATGTCTAGATCGATTTCTCTCGTCATGCTGATTCAGAATATATATACTTTATGGGGTCGGAGATGCTTCCTTCTGCATGTTACATACTTTGCACAAACCTAATATACCCTTTTTACCCTACGGGTACAGGGTATATAGAATTAAAATTAAAGTGTTATAGCGTAGTTGCGCTTGCATCTTTAGGATTAGTTCAGCTGCCACTTATTTAAGCTTATTATTACAGCTGACAGTCTAACATATCACATCTCCCATATCGCTTGACACTTCAACTCAGCAGACTTCAATTGCAGACACATTACTCGTGCAGTTGTGCTCAGGTTTCCTTAGCCTTCTCACTGCCACACTGCCAGCCATTATCCCTGAGCATTTTACAAGTGTTTAACGTCTAATTAAGTGCATGGAGTAGATGTTGGAGCTGTAAGTTTGTTTTCCTTGCACTCACTGGCAACTCGCGCAACGCGTTTTTAATTAAGTTTCTGACACTTGCAGTTTTCAGTTTGCTGCTGAGTGCGATTGCGACTTGCTTACTCGCACTTCCTGATGCAATTTTTCGATAACAAAGTTAAGGAATTGTTGCAGTGCTACATACTCGTATTACATTATGACGTGCAATTAGCAGTCTGATGTTGGCTCCTCCTCATACAATTACTTTCTGTTGTTGTGATACTTTGGGATAATTGTGTTTCAAATGTGTGCCATTCGATTAAGGAAAAATTGCTATATTACAAATAATGCGAAGAAAGAATGTGCCTATTCGAACTATAATAATTATATATCTATATACTTTCATATAAAACAGTTTGTCCTGACTGATTGGCAATCAACGCACAGCCCAAACGGTAAGAGCTAAGAAGCTCTCACAGTGAGAGTGGGCACTAAGAAGGGGTTTTGGAAAATTCAAACTCCAAAGGGGGAACACGGGCACCAACGTTTGTATGAAAAATATACAATTTTCATCCGATTAACTTCAAACTTAGCTTGTATAACTGTTTGTTTCGATTGGTATACGCGATTCAAGAATGGTGCTGATGACTTAAATGAAGATGTAGTCGAAAAAGTGTGTGAGCTTATCAATAATCAGCAAACATGAAAGTAATGGAAATATTATTAAATGTCATCAAAAAGAATCACTCTTTTTTTGTTCCACACGAGTTGCCTGAAGCACATTTTAACCTTCAACCACTCCCCATATTCGCTGAATTGGCTGCGTCCGACAATTTACATTTTTGGTAAATTGCATTTCCCCATAAAAGGAATGCGGTTAAACGACATCTAAGCCATTCAAAAGGCAACTATTTTGAAGAACAGGTGACTGGTGACGTAAAATAACCGTTCGAAATTCTTATTCATTATTTTGAGTAAATTAAACTAATTTTGCCAAAATATTAATTGTGTTCTTATTTTAATTACCATTTATAATTACCCTTTCAATTACCCTTTTATAAAAAGTACGTATGTAGTATGTACTGTTTATTTTGGAATGCAAGTTGTTAATAAAAAATTGAACATAAAAAGGGACCATAGGTGTCATTAGTACACGCAATAAGAAAGTTCTGTTTTTTAATCTAATTAATTAGTCACATGTATATGTGATTACGATAACCAGCCTTCAAAAGAAAAATACTTGTAGAGCAGCAATAAACCATTTGATTTAATCCACTACATTTGACGTGTCTGGCTGATAACTGTTATTTGATGTTAGCTTACGCGTGCCAAGAATATATATATATACATATATATGGGAAATATATATATGGGCATTTCCATGATGTCGTACGGGACAGTTGTACACATTTAAAGTGGAAAAAAGTGAAATCAAATCGAATTTTTTTTGTTAATGGGCCTAACTTATAACTCTTAACTAGGCCTATAATTGATGCTGAGGTTGATTTAGAGCGATTTCACCGACCACCAGTTCAAACACAGATCTTAGCGAAACCTGAGACAATATATCAATGTGACTAGTTTTGGGCGGTTGTGCATTGATGTCTATTAAAAAATGGTCTTGATTTTACAATAAATTATTTAAACATTTTTTGCCATTCCGCATTCGCAAGGGACTGTCGTATGGGGCATTTTTTCCATCATAGCATTATTACTTTTTGATTTTATTTATTTATTTTTGTTATAATAAAATATTATAAAAGCTTAGTAACGATGTATGTATTCATAATAACAAACTTGACCACTTTATGTGTATGAAGGAACCATTTTTGTAAAAGTACTAAATGTAAAACCAAAAATAAATATGATGGCGAATTTTATTACTGATGGGTATAAATAATTTTAAAATTTGCTCAAATTAGTTAAATTCGATTGTTTCCCTATAAAAAATGATAAAACAAAGTAACCTTAACTTTTAATTTCTTGGTCTCGGTGGACCTTTTAGTGGAACTGCTACCTACTAAGATAAGACCTTTTCATTTGAACGAACTAATAAATATTATTGCTGTTACTATAATTTGTAGAAAACGCAAGAATACAAGGAAATAAACAAGGCAATGCTATTCGGGACTTGGGGAAGACCAAAAAATTCTTTGCTCTCAGGGGTAAAGTAATAGTGATAATATGTCGATATTGTCAATATTGATATTCCCTCTTATTATGTCGGTCTCTTACAAAAGGCGTTGCTTACTAAATTTGAAAGTAGAAAAGTATTGTAATAAATATTTAATCTTCATCTAATTCCACTTGACATGGCGACGATTGATGGCATTGAAGGTCACACCTACAGTTTATTTTCAGCTTTAAAGTTCAGTACGCGTTGGATAAAGCTCCACATTATCCTAATAAGCTATAGTTTATCTTCTCGTTTTAATTCTTTGAATTTCAAACCCATTGACCACTGAAACCCAAGCTGGTTCGTCGAACTGCTGTAATCAGTTGACAAGCAAAATATCAGCAATGATTTATATTCCGCAAAACCAGACCAATAGGTGTCGCCTAATTTACAACATCGCCGACAAAATCGCAAGGTTCGATCCGATAAGGAGCCAGAACGTACGTTTATCAAGTGCCATGGTCGGGGCCACTTTTTTCCAATGGACTATAAAAGTGGTCGCATGTCAATCGATCAGCATAGTCTTGGCTTCAACTTCAATATGAATCGTCTTCTGCTCAATCTGGCAGCGCTACTGGTGTGTGGCGTCTGCTGCCTTGCCATGCCCCAAAAGGACCCATTCGGTCGCGTTGTGGGTGGCGTCGCAACCACCATCGAGGATCACCCCTACCAGGTGTCCATTCAGTACACCTCGGGCTCCCACTTCTGTGGCGGCAGCTTGATCGATGAGGAGACCGTCGTCACTGCTGCCCACTGCCTGCAGGGCACCGCTGCCAACGAGATCCAAATTCGCTTGGGATCAGCCAATCGCAAGAGTGGTGGTGAGTTGGTCAGCGTGAGGGCCTTGACATACCATGCCGGCTACAACAGCAAATTGATGATTAACGATGTGGCACTCATCAAGTTGAGCACCCCAGTCCGCCTAACGGCTACCATTCGTCCAATTGCGTTGGCTGAGGTTACACCTCCATCTGGCACACCCGCCGTCACCAGCGGCTGGGGCACCACCTGCTTCCTGTTCTGTAGCTCCGTGGATAATCTCCTTGAAGTTGAAGTGGATCTGCTCCAGGTTAACGAATGCGCCCAATACAACTATAGCGCTGGCTCTATTCTGGAGACCATGGTTTGCGGCTACTCCGAGGGCAAGGATGCCTGCCAAGGTGACTCTGGCGGTCCATTGGTGGCCAATAGCCAGCTGGTTGGTATTGTTTCTTGGGGCAATGGCTGCGCCAAGTCTGGATATCCTGGTGTCTACGCCGATGTTGCCTCACTCCGCAGCTGGATCGTCGCGACCAGCAGCACGTTGTAAATGATATTGCTGATAAATAAAATTTAACCCAAGCATTTTTAAATAACAAATAATCTCTGCTGCCTTAGTCGGGAGAATATGAATAGTGTTTGTTGGTGAATCTGGAAAACGAGTAATACGAATGCGTACGGAGGCATATCACAAAGATAGCCTTAAGCGTACAACCAAGTTTCTATCAAGAACAGTTTGTTATGTGAAACGTGAGCATGTTTTGATATGAAATTAAAGGCAATTCAATGACCTTTTTAAAAAGTATAGTATAAATATGATTGGGCAATAATCAAAGTTAGAAGCAAATTTAGATTTCGAAGGCTACTTAGCTGGCGATGAATACTACTTGTAGTCTGACCGATTAAAAAAAGTTTATATTTAAAATTAAGAGCAACATTTTAGAACTAAGAACAATTCAAGGGACATGACTTCTAGCTAGAAGTGAGTCTGTACTCATTCTTTTTTTTTGCTTCTCCTATGGGCGCATACAAGGTGTGTTCCAAAGTAAAGAGGACTTTAAAAAAAAAAACAACAAATGGTTTTTTCGACAAAATCAATTTATTTTATTCAAAATAGTCTCCTTCTGCTTCAATACAGCTTTTTGCACGATCCAAAAGCATGTCGAATGAGTGTTTTAGCTCGTTGGCCGGTATGGCCGACAGTACACAAAAAAAAAAGAAAATTGAAAAAAAATCATTTAAAACAAGAGAGAACGCTACAGTCGAGCAAGCCCGACAGTGTAATACCCTGTACCCAGGTAAACTTCCGTCACTGAGTTATATGCGCACATAGCAGCAGCAAAAAGAGGAAGAAGAAGAGCGAACTTGTTGCTGCAGTTTGGGGAGGTTGTACTGGCGAGAATTTTTTTCGCTAATAACTTTTCTTAGAATTGACCGAATTGAATAAAATTTTGAACAACAGTAGACAATTATATATAAATTATGTGTGCAAAGTTTGGTTTAGGTAGCATTTGAAATGTGGACGCTATTGACGAAATTCTGTAGCGGGGGAAGGGGGGGAAAATTCCAAAAAATAAAATAAACTCGTCCTTTCTCGGACCTAGGAGAATCTGGATGCCAACTTTGGTTATTCTAGCTTTTATAGTTTCTGAGATCCTCGCGTTCATCCAGACGGACGGACAGACGGACGGACGGACATGTCTAGATCGATTTCTCTCGTCATGCTGATTCAGAATATATATACTTTATGGGGTCGGAGATGCTTCCTTCTGTATGTTACATACTTTGCACAAACCTAATATACCCTTTTTACCCTACGGGTACAGGGTATAAAAAGTTAATTGATTAATAAATTAAAATAAAATATTCAACACATAGCATATAATAAATTTAGTTATAGAAAATCGTGAATAGGGGGAGAGTGGGAGGTTGCATCACAAAAATTAACAAACATGAATAAAAATAAAAAAAATTGAAAACAAATTTCATTATTTAATTAAACTGTACATAAAATATTCAACACATTCATACATACGTACAATTTCAATAGAAAACAAGAGAGAACGCTACAGTCGAGCAAGCCCGACAGTGTAATACCCTGTACCCAGGTAAACTGAGTTATATGCGCCCATAGCAGCAGCAAAAAGAGGAAGAAGAAGAGCGAACTTGTTGCTGCAGTTTGGTGGGGTTGTACTGGCGAGAATTTGTTTTGCTAATAACTTTTCTTAGAATTGACCGAATTGAATAAAACTTTAAAGAACAGTAGACAATTATATATAAATTATGTGTGCAAAGTTTGGTTTATGTAGCATTTGAAATGTGGACGCTATTAACGAAATTCTGTAGCGGGGGAAGGGGGGGGAAATTCCAAAAAATAAAATAAACTCGTCCTTTCTCGGACCTAGGAGAATCTGGATGCCAACTTTGGTTATTCTAGCTCTTATAGTTTCTGAGATCCTTGCGTTCATCCAGACGGACGGACGGACAGACGGACGGACGGACGGACATGTCTAGATCGATTTCTCTCGTCATGCTGATTCAGAATATATATACTTTATGGGGTCGGAGATGCTTCCTTCTGCATGTTACATACTTTGCACAAACCTAATATACCCTTTTTACCCTACGGGTACAGGGTATAAAAACCCGTTCTTTCTCGGGCTTAGGAGAATCTCGATACCAAGATTGGTTATTCTAGTTTCTATACTTTCTGAGATCCTTTCGTTCATACAGACGGACGGACAGGCGGACATGGCTATATTGACTCGACTTATCATCCTGATCGAGAACATATATACTCTGTGGGGTCTGGCACGCCTCCTTCTGTACACTCGCACAAAATTTATAAACCCTTTGGGTACAGGGTATAAAAACTAAGGATTGAAGTAAAGTTGTGCTGCCAGAAAATGTAATTGCCATGCTCGAGTTCGAGTTGTATGAATGTCTGGAAGTTGTTGTTTAAGATTTGGTTTTCCATTTCAACACCCACATAATGTCATACATAACTCATTGACATTATAAACGACGACACCGCTCACAACGCACAACAACAACAACAGCAATTGCAACAAACAACAAACGTTGGCCGCCCATTTCATGTATCGTTGTAGGAAGCAAACGGCAGCCGCCAACCAAACCAAACACAATATTGTATCGAAGCTCATTTTCACACAAATGGCTGGAAAAGCCAAATTCTAGAGTCGATACATTGGTGCTGGATGTCACGCCACGATGCGGCTGATTGTCGTGTCTCACACCTTGGTGATTTTTATACCCTGTACCCGTAGGGTAAAAAGGGTATATTAGGTTTGTGCAAAGTATGTAACATACAGAAGGAAGCATCTCCGACCCCATAAAGTATATATATTCTTGATCAGCATGACGAGAGAAATCGATCTAGACATGTCCGTCCGTCTGTCCGTCTGTCCGTCTGTCCGTCTGTCCGTCTGTCCGTCCGTCTGGATGAACGCAAGGATCTCAGAAACTATAAAAGCTGGAATAACCAAAGTTGGCATCCAGATTCTCCTAGGTCCGAGTAAGGACGAGTTTATTTTTTTTTTTTTAATTTCCCCCCCCTTCCCCCGCTACAGAATTTCGTCAATAGCGTCCACATTTCAAATGCTACCTAAACCAAACTTTGCACACACAATTTATATATAATTGTCTATTGTTGTTCAAAATTTTATTCAATTCGGTCAATTCTAAGAAAAGTTATTAGCAAAACAAATTTTCGCCAGTACAACCCCCCCAAACTGCAGCAACAAGTTCGCTCTTCTTCTTCCTCTTTTTGCTGCTGCTATGGGCGCATATAACTCAGTGACGCAAGTTTACCTGGGTACAGGGTATTCCACTGTCGGGCTTGCTCGACTGTAGCGTTCTCTCTTGTTCTTTAAACGTTTGTAGTTGTTGTTGGGAGCGTTCGTGGCTGCCACGCTACAATGCCACATATTGTTGTCATTAATTAAAACGTTTTATGGATTACATGGGCAAGTGAGCGTGGAGCGTGTCTGTTTCTGTTTCTGTGTCTCCGACTGTGTGTCACTGTGCTTGTTGTGTTCACCTTTTGCCGACAGCGACGACGTCGACGAAGACGACTTCTCCCCAAAAACGATTTTTCACAATTTTTCAACTTGGCGCGCATAACACTAAATCACTTTAATATTCAAATATTTTGGTGGAAAGCAAGAATAGAGAGAAAAACGAAACGAAAGCAATAAAGCATAAAAATGTCAGAGGGGCGCCGATGCCGACAGGAAACCAAAAAATGCTACTCGGCAATGGTAAATGCACAAAAACAAACATCGGAGTGCGTCAATTGGGGGTTGGGGCCATATGGAATTCAGGGTTCGAGGTTCCAGACCGCCGTAAAAATGTCAACCAACATGCCAAGGCAAAGTCGCGCGGTCTATTGCCAAAGTTTTTCAGTTGTAGTTTTTGACTAGGTGCGAATAATTTCATACTCGCACTTGGTTAGAGATGTACGTTAATGCGTGCGTGATAGTCCATGGTTAAGTGTAGTTTAATAACAGAATTTTAATTGCAATTAAAAGTCCAGAATTCAAGAACCAATGACCTCATGAGAACTCGCAAAACGCCAATGAAGTAGAATTAATATATATTAGGGGCTCCCCTCCACACGAAATAAAGAATCCAAAAATGTATTTGTATGCGAATAATTGCTTCCAAACTGTGGACCAGTGTAGAAGATTTGTTGCTCGGTCTTCGATCATGTAATTAAAATCATTCACCTGTGTGGACAAACATCACATTTCTCAGCCTGGAAAATTTGACCTCCAAAACAATGTTAAAGTTTAATTTGCTATAAAAAACATGATAAATTGAAGCATTGTTTATATTCTAATACTGTCTACACTTTAGCGGAAATTTTTACTACATTCCAAACTTTTCACACCGTTTGTACTTCAGGTTCTATGTAGAACAAAACAATTGGCTTATTCTTCTGAGTGTACTTTATATTAAAGATTCTTCAGTGATCCCCCGTTAGTACGAGTATATTTCATTCCTGATTAGTATTCATGTTTCATGTAGAAGAAGCTATTATCATGTATTATACTTGTATTAACATCTGTTTCGTAATTTTGTACTTTAACAATCTACTAACGAAAATCAACTCAATGAAATAGTATTATATTTCGCCAGAAAACCAAAAAAACTACGCAAACTATTAATCTATCTGCTCATTGTGTACCTAATGAGCTTTGAGCTGAGTTTACTTTGAATCAAGATCCTACCTTAGATTGTTTTTAATACTTGTATATGTTTATACGTCAGGAGCATGCTATGTGGAACCATATTTTTGAAATACATTTCTTTATTGAGAGATGTAAGTTGTAGATTAACAAATCACAAATAGTGAAATAAACTTTTCTCGCTCGATCACATTTAGATTTTTTGTTAAATTTGCTTTTTTTTTGTGAATAGAAACTTGGCTTTTAGAGAGTATTTTCCCGTGCGATCAGTAAGTGAATTACTCAACTAAATTCCATGTCCTTTGTACAATGGTTAATCCCTTTATCGAATCCTTTCAACCTATTTCATAGAAGTACGAAAACTACAGCAAATCAATTTGGAAATTTTTGAAC